CATCATCTCCCTCCCCCACTATACCATCACCTCCCTCCCCCACTATACCATCATCACCTCCCTCCCCCACTATACCATTATCTGTATGATGGCTAGGAGCGAATTCTTGTAATGTAGATGTATCAGCACACCACTAAAGATGAGTAATTGATGATATTGTTTTGATGGTTGTTGTTTATATTACATATATATTAAGTTGATGATGACATTGTGAGTATATCCTTCCATCACCCTCTGCCCATACATGATGCCGTACTACTGGTACCACCATACTATTACTACTATCATCATCATCATCATCATCATCACAACCATTATCAGATAATGATGTATCATTAAGAATGGATAATGATGATGATAATGATGATGATGATGATGATGAATTATAAATATCGGATGATATATGATGATGATGGTGATGATCGAGTAATGGAGAGGATAATCGACGATGTTGTTGTTGTTGTTGCCTCCCCTGATACCGTATTATCGATCCTAATCGTCGTGGTCGTCGTCGTTGTGTTCTGCTCTCAGAATTAACATCAACTCTCTCCTCCATCATAACTTTATATAACTAACAATAAATAATAATAATAACCTATGATCATGATCATCATCATTTATGAACTCCTCCACCATCACCACCACGACGATAATCCTTCTTACATTATGTATTATAAGGTCCCCTCTAAGTCTCCTATCTTCCTTCTCTTGTGGTACTAACATAAAGGGGGATTTGAATGATAACATACTCTACTAAATAATGATAGGCGCAACAACAACAACAACGAGGAGGAGAAGGAGAAGGAGTAGCAGCACTTTCAGCCTGAGCAGCCTATTTCATATCATAACGACGACTAACACTAGTTAGTCTTCAGTACGAAGGGGGGGCGGAGGAGCTCGTTGAGCTTCTCATCATAAATTCAGCGGACTATTATTGAAATTATCTTGGAAACTGGATGACTAGTTGTCGGGGGTCGGCTGGCGTCATCGTCGTCGTGGACCTCACTCCATAATGGAAGGCGTGGATAGAGTCTATCGTATAGACGACCTCTTCAGCCAAAACGGTCTCCTTATAGAGGAGACATGTGAGAAAAATGACCATTGGTTTGGGATTAGACCCTGGGATTAGTCAATCGACTGAGAGTCATGATTACCAACGTGCTGAACAAGGTACGACTTGGAAGCACTGAGATATCTTTAGGTTTGCTCTATGAATGGCTGCTCTGATATTCGATATATTGTGCACTAAAGTATAGGCAAACGACGCCCATACAAAATCGGCTACATAGGGAAACATAGCCATTCATCATCATCGCTCTGAGGTAACAGTAATAATAACAACTCATTAAACCAATTCAAGAGAACCCTCTTTGATAAAGAAGAACTAAGAGCAACTAACCGTCATCATCTAACTTAATCATCATCCTAGTCTGATAAGCTATGCTTGTCCAATGCTGCTGCTGCTGCTGCTGATGTCATCGTCATGCTCACGCTTATCATTTGATAATAATGCTTCCCACCCTTTAAAAGAGACGATAATAGTATTAATGGATATCTACGCCGAAAGATACAATTAGAGTAAAAATAATATTCATGATTAAGAAACACATACATAGATACATCATCATAGATGTATCTACATAGATATGTAGATATTATGTTTCATCATCATTATATCTTCTTATCAAGAACACAACACACACAGTTATATGAATGAATTATATATATATACGACTTACGAGAAATAATAATAATAATAATGCAGTCATCATTTTTTCTCATTCTTACTATTGTCCTTCTTACTATTGTCATTCTTACTATTGTCCTTCTTACTATTGTCCTTCTTACTATTGTCCTTCTTACTATTGTCCTTCTTACTATTGTCCTTCTTATGTTTCTTCTTATCTCTTCTCTTATCAGTTATCGTTCTTTTCCTCTTCCTCTTCCTTCCCTCCATTACTATTATATCATCCTCCTGTATGCTATTTCTACCATCAATAATCTGTAATATTAATAATAACCATATTTCTACACACACTACATTACATCCTGTTGCCCCCCGTCGTCGCCTATCCTCTTGTTGTTGTTGTTGCTACTGCCAATATCATAATCATCATCACCATCCAACAGTAGTGTAAGAGTATTAGTGAGTTCCCTCCTATTCATAGGAATACATTCACGGACTTATTATAGACTTACATCTCTGATGGACTCCGACGATGATGATGATGACGATGATGATGATGATGCTTCTTCGAGGTACTACTACTGGTACTGATCTTATGCTTCTTTTTACTACTCCTCTTACTCCTTTTACTACGTTTACTACTACAGCTACTACCAATATCATCATCGTAATCATCACCATCATCATCCTCATCATCATCTGGATACGGTAATCTATTATCTGAATAACAGTTATCCTTCACTAATGACCTTTATCACCATCACCACCACCACCATCACAATGATGATGATGTTGATGATGATTAATTATATTCACTTATTATATGTTGGGAGGTTGATCCTGGTATAGGGACAGTATTGAGAATATCTTTATGCTTATCAATCTAAACAACAACAATAATATATATTGTAATATTGTTAATGTTAGTAATACTAGTTGTAAAGATATTTGAGTTAGATGGTTGAAATCCTTATTAGCACTAGATGGATCAGAAGTTATCCGATGTACAACATCAAAGTCCATAAGAGGCTCATGATGATGTTGTTGTTGTTGTGTATTGGATAATTGAGGAGGTTCCCCCTCTAAACCCGATACCATCGGTCGAGGTGTTAACAGATGACTACACAATCTGAATAGTAATAATAACAACAATTCCAGACTGTATACTACTACTACTACCTAAAGGCATCTTGTGCACTAATCACCTTTGTTGTTGATGATGATGATGACACTTTATTATTATCATTAGTTTCCCCTCCTGCTCCTCCTGCTGCTGCTGTATCCTTCTTCTTATAAATCTGCTGATGCTCTCTGTGATGTTTATTATATTTCTCTACTACACTACCCATAATACTAGCACCAACGACCTACTATTAATAATAATGTAGATTATGGTACTATTAGTATTATTACTAGACTTAATTCTCTAAAATCAGCAGCAGTTAGTACTAAATGAAGATCATGTTCAATACTATGTAATATCGTATCAGGATCAGGATCAGGATCAGGAGCAGGAGCAGGAGCAGGATCTCCTTCTTGTGTTGAGGTGGTGGTCATATTAACAAGACATATAGAAGACAAGTGATAATAACTAGGATAAGGACGATTATGAAGAGCCGTAGTACTACCTCAGGACGAGTATGAAGTAATTGAGATATTAATAGATGATGAAGGTCTGGAAGGGGTGCGTGGTATCATATCGGTTGCTATATGACGACGTTGGATAGCAATAAGTTGTAATAAGCATTCGTAGATTATTCAACTATGAAGTTGACTAATTCCTATAACATAGTAATATTTGAATGAATAGAAGAGTAATTATGATTATGAAGGGTACTATCAAACACAAGTATCCATTTGTGGTGGTGATGGTGGTTGTAAAGGTTGTATTAATGAAGTTGATTGCCAGTTAATAAGATAGCTGGTGTTACTACTACCTCATTTGGTATACTCATCATTTCCTCAACTGTTGGATCATTAACAATAGGAGTCTTACCACGTTTCATTTCTTCAATAGATATATCTTCAGGAACCTGAAGATGATAACTATACATGTAGTTGTAGTAGTAATAACAATGACCAACATCAGGAATGCTCCATGAGAGGTAAAGCTTAAGTGCAATAAGAGAATGTTCAATGATAACACATCGCCAAAGGACATAATTATCATTATGATTATGATGAATCTCATCTACTACCATCATACCATCTACCTAAACATCAACAAAATGGGTAGTAAATTGTACCTGTTATTATTATTAAGTACTCATTATGATACTACACCTTTTCAATCTCAAATTCAACCATTGAAAGAAGAACAAATTAGATGGATGATGAAATTTGATTTTCGACGAGTGAAAGGAGTTTTTCACGAAGTGAAAGTTCAAATTCGAAATGAAAGTTAGAATTTCGTTGAGCGGTCGAAAACGAAAGTTCAAATTCGTAAATGAAATTTATGAATTCCGAAGCACAAGCTTAAATTCGTCCAACACAAGACCAATTTCGACCAATGAAAGCTCACTTTCATTCGATGGAAAGAATTCTCCTCAGCGTCGTGCCACGGCTGATCGACTTTTGACTCGCAAATTGCGAGTGCTGATGGTGGTGCTCTACGGGCCGCACCGTAATGCACAACAGAACTACAGCGCAAATCCACACATTTGCAATAACTGTTCACATTTGAGAAGTACCTCGAGCAGTCTTCGCACATTGTGCGAGTTGTCAATCTCCATTACCCTTCCGATGATATCGGAAGGACGATGTAGTCAGCACATGTTCGGTGCGATTTCCTGCCCACCGAATCGAACTTTGATCGAATACCGAACCGGACCAACCCTCTACGAAAAGTGTTCAACTTGTGTTTCCGAATTCATAAATTTCATTTACGAATTTGAACTTTCATTTTTGAGTGGTCTACGAAAATCGAACTTTCATTGGTCGAATTTGAACTTTCATTCGGTGAAAAACTCCTTTCGTCCGACTAAAATCAAATTTCATCTTTCTAATTTGTTCTTCTTTCATTTGCTGAATTTGAGATTGAAAAGGTGTAGTACTACAACTGACTTATTACATATAATAAGCATACATTGGTAACAACACCCAATATTGATATCATTTCAAGGGTATCGATCCAAGTACCTAATAGAAATTATTAGAGCCTCTTGAATGATAATAATAATAAGCTCCTCCTACGTGTTGTCTGCATCTGCATCTCATCTGTGTTGACAACACCTCTAATCACTTTTTGAAGTTTAAATGAGTCATTATACCTGTTATTCAAATGATGATGATGATGATCCTGATGATGATAATAACATCAGATGGTCGTCGGAGTAATATGTGATTATTATTATTAACTTACGCTTCAGTGAGTGTATGAATAAGTGATAATGGTATAATCAAGGGATATACAGCTCCAAAACATACACATACAGCGAAGTCAACAATCATTTCGAACCTATTCATAATAATAATAATCATAGTAGTAGTAGTAGTAGTAGTAGTACAACTCCATAATCTATCTTATTATTATTATTACTACCAGTCATCGAATAGATCATATTCTTCCTGTCCTCGTTGCTGTTCAATATCCTCTATCAATGTTGGATGATCCATACCTTTATGATGATGAGTATCCATTGAAACTCCATGTTCACTATTATCATCCTTTTTATTATAATTAATATTACCACCAGCCCACCACGAAGACGACCACCACCACCATCGCATTAGCATAGGTAATCCAATCTCTTGGAAGTTACCGAACACCTATTGTTTGAGATCCAGGAGGGTTCGATTCTCGGGAGAGGCATTTCTATACCCACCTGTTTAACTGTCATGAAAATGAATAATTGATTTTTGAGATAATCGATATCACAGCGATAAAATGCAACATAATAGAACCATCCAAGATAGTTGCAAAGTTGAAATAAAACTACTTTCAACGATAATGATTCAAATCTCGCTTCACGGAACCTAAAATGCAGCAGCAGAAGCAGAAGCACTCACCAAGGTTCGAGTCGATGATGATGTGTACTTATGTTTTTCTTTCTGTGTTAGATAATTAGCAAGTTTATAATATGTCTTTTGCCAACCACCACTGAGTACTATCACCCAGGCTACTGTTGGTAATGTTTGTATAATTATCGAGTCTGATAATTCTTCTGATAAATCCTGAAACAGATGATGATGAACAACGATGTTGTTATTATTAATAATAATACAACTGTAATAATAACCATAATACTACTACTACTACTACCTGTAGCAGAAGTAAAGCGATGATAATACCAATAGTTATGGCAATCATTAATCCAAATCCTAACACTGATATCGCTGCTCGCAGATACTAATAATAATGATCATTATCATCATAACATGATTATGTTTAATACTCATGATGTCAACGTACTGTATCAGCAGCCCCGGCCGTCCCCATTGCAGCCGCCGCATTATCCAACTCTCCAACTCTGGATTCCAACTCTGTCACGACTGTTGTTAATGATGATGATGATGAATCTCCTCCACACTCCAATGCACACCATTTAAATCGACATGATGCTAACAACCTTTTCCACGATTCAACGAAGAATGTTGCCCAGACTGACACGATTACCTAACATCGACATCATAATCGATTACTCGGGCGAGCGCCACATTTCGCGACTGTTGACCCCACCCCGCCCATACACAGGTAATCGCTGCCACTATGTATTCCTTGCCAGTAAGATAATAGCATGACCTGAAGCATGGTCATGGCAGCGGTAATCATATGATGATAGTTTTTCTTTCAGAATCATCATCATCATAATCACAACTTATTACAATTGCAGTAGAATACATACTCCAGCTAATGGTATAAGCCATGTTGCATATTGTTGTAATAGTTTATAATATATAGCCACATCACATCCAAAGATAGGTACTAGATACTTCTCATAAGGAGCATCGAATGCCTACATTATAGACAACAGATACTCTATGACCACTACTACTACTACCAATATTACCCCCCAATATGTACGCGTATACTCCCCTTCTTGTTGTTGTTGATGATGATCCTTATTCCTCAAAGTCCATACAGCTTTGATCTCAAGTTTACCATTATTGAATACCCCATTCTTCATCATAAGGCAATGCATAAGTTGTAATTGCTCTATAGACATTAATAGTAGTTGTTGCTATTATGATGATTATGATTATGATTATCATTACCAGTATTAGTGAAGAAGGTCTCAATATGTTCACTTCCAATATATCGACTTAATGGTAGATTATTACGAAAATAGATCGAGACTGGTTTAAGATGATTCCCTGCTTCATCATCTCCAATAAAATCTTTAACAACTTTCCTAAAGATATTACTACTATGATGAGGTCATTATCATCATTATCATCATTATCACACTATGCTAACCCCAACAGATGATATTCCTTACCTACTCTCGGCCATCTCCATCAATGGTCTATAATCTTCTACTGCAACAGCAACTGTAATATAACCTTCATCTGATGCATCTGATCATCATCATGAACATCATGAACATACATATAATAATAATAAGCCACCACCCTAGTACCTGGAGTAACATAAACTATCCTTAAACCTATGCCCTCTAATAATGCCTCCACATCATCATTCTCAATATCAACATCCTTATCAAAGTCTACTAGCAGTAGAACTGGAGTTTGTTCAACTATAGTGTCACTGCATACTGAGTGGGTAGTACTAGGGCTTGTTGTTGATGATGATGCTGCTTGTGGTAGTGATGGAGTATCATCTCCCTGATCATCATCATGATGATGATCATGATGGTGGTATTGATGATCATGATGCTCATCCAACATGGTTAAAATGATGATGATAATAATAATGATCTTAATCTACCGACTCCAACAACTCCAACAACAAGACAAGGACTATAATAATCTGCGAAAAGTATGTAAATGATCGCAAGAGAATGTGATAAATAATGATGATGATGATGTTGTTGTTGTTATTTACAGAATACCATTGGTTATCCTCTGAAAGTTATCATATTGGATAGTTCTCCAATTATTTACACTATTATCGATCAATACAACTATCTTCTCTATACATGCTTCTTCTGTTAAATGACCAAAGAATCTATCATCCATATGTTTAAGAGTATTCTGTGGAGCTCCTCCAGCAGTTAAACAATCCATTTTACATCCAGATTCGGCCAACATACGTACCAATAATATCAGCCTATCACGATGTTTACGAGCTTCTAGAAATCCTCGAATAACCAAAGTACGAAAATATTCAAACTTATCACTATCCTCGCCTCCTATAACATCTATATATTCTTGTGTTAACTTAAATGGTGCAGTCTCGAATGCAAAGTTACCAGGGGCATTCGATAACATATATCCAAAATCAATATGTATAAGATGCCCTTCTCGATCCAATAATAGATTACCATTATGTCTATCTCTTACTGCTAGAAAATAAGAGAATAATGAGTATGCTGCAAGACTCTCGATAAAGTTATTCCGTGCTTTATCTAATGTATCACGAGAATCACTAAAGGCCATACGAAATATATCATCCAATGATTTATCCGGGAACTCCTTCTTTAAAGCATCGATCGATATTGTATCAGTTAACTGATCATTAACAACAATAACGATGATGATCAGTATGATGATGATTATTATTAATATATTACCATTTCCATAAGGCCTGAGTTAGCATCCACTACGATAGTCTCATAGGGTTTTAACCATAATGGTAATCTAGCTTCCTCGAATATCATCTGTAATACTCTAAAATCGTAGTAGTATGTTATTATTATTAGTAAGAGTATTAGTACCTCACAAGTTGACCAGCTAAAACCTCTTGTCTAACATCATCACCACCTTTAACCATCACCTAATATTATCGATATCATAATATCACACTACTACTACTAACCTGTACAGCATTCCATGACTCAAGACAACCATATACACTATTAGCCCTTATACGTGCCTTCTTCTCTCGGAAGGGTTCACCCCATATACACTTCCTCACCTGATTATTATCATGTATGATCATTGATAGAGCAGTATGAATAGTAGCAGTAGCATGATGATACTACTACTATTACTATTACTACCTTCTCTGCTTCCTCCTGTCGCTTTTGTCTTCTCTTCTGATGTGGTGTGCTAGTAGTAGTAGTACTGCCTCCTTTTTGTGATACTCCTGATGCGGCCGCCGCTGATGCCGATGCTGCTGATACTGCTGATTTATTCTTCGACTCGAACGATTCTGCTTTTACTACTCCAACAACTGTTACCAAGAAATATCTTCGCCAGGGATCGAACTTGGGATTACCTTCATTATCATCAACATCATGACTGCTGCTCAATGTATGCTCGAGAGGGGTAACGATAGGGTCAACTGCCGATGCCGCCGCCCCGGATGACGAAGCTGACCATATAAATACCATAGGATGTTGATATGCTGCTCTCTATGGACCATTACCATCATAAGGGTCAACAATAGTGCCGACTTGAAAGGTCTTCATACTATCCTTTATTATACTTCCATAAAAGTTATTACACCATTCAGTAGAAGGTGTACGAGCAACAGCATATCGTAGTTCATCTCGATAGGGATAACGAGAATTATTATTAGTATTAACCTTTTCTCGATACATCTCGCTGCTGCTGCTGCTCATCTCAGCTAGTATATATCTATCATAAAAGATCCAGCCCTAGTATTGAATGGAGTATCTCAGACTGTAGTACTTGCTAACTTCATCACATCTATCTCTGGAAGTCTTGGGAGGTCGAGGTTCAACCTTTTCAAATATCTCTTCCAAATCTGCCACCTCTAGAGTTAGCATATACGGTGCTCTCGTACGTGTTTTGAACACCCTACAATCCTCTATATGCACCTATACGATCACTGTCACTTACAAATCGATCATCCGGGCGAGCGCTACAGTCATCCCACTACTTACTGATAATATGTGGGTTTGAACACTATCCTTCCTATTACTACATGCTGGCATCCCTTGCGGTAGTGATAACCCTGTCAACTTAAATGAACCGGTAGTCATTGCTACGGCAGCTCGTCCTAATTAGGATAAAACAAAGTAATAGCATCCTCACCGAGGATCGAACCAGGATGGATGACGATGATGATGATAATTACTCTCAAAGAGCCATTGATTGAGTTGTGACATAGCTGCTGCAAGGCACTGCTTCCTCTCGGTATGATTAACTAGTAGACATGACAATCGGCAAAGGGCCGCCACAAATGTATTCTGGTTATTAAAATAATCACATCTGATGGAAAAAAGCATTGCCGTAGGGATCGAACCAGGAACGTGATCTTATTACCTAAGTTGTTTTAATAAGAACTTTTCCATTTCGCCATCCAAATGCTTTATATCTTCATCACTCTCATTGCCTCCTCTTCCCATATTACAATCCTTATTGTTATCACTACTAGTAGTAGTATGTAAAGTAGTTATACCAGATACTGCAATATAGCGATCAATTGAAGTTTCAGGATCCCCTAATTCAGCATATATAGACATAGTACCTATTTAATACTACTACTACCATACAAGAGTATGAATAATCTTACTTATACGATTGAGATATGGACATGCTTCAGTTCTAGCTGATCTTGATAATCTTCTTAAAGCTTCCAATGACTCTTGAAGAGATACAACCTAGACGAACAGTTAACAAGATGATGATTGTCATGAAAATAAGATAAAAAGGATAATGATGATGTTACCTCTCTAGGTTGGATGCTACCACTCTCTTTCCTATCAGCAACAGTAGCAGAGACAACAGATGATGATGATAATGATCTCTTCTTATCCTCTTCCTCCTCGTCATCCTTCTCTCCCTCCTCCTCTAGAACGATATCTAATAAGAATAATAGTAATCCCCCATTCCAATGCTACCTCACTACTACCCTGCTCTTCCACCACCAGCTGTTCCTGCTGTTGCTGTTGTTGCTGTTGTGTCACTGTTACAGTACTAAGTTCGGGATTAGAACTGCTTCGTACTATGCCCTCTCCTTCTGTTATACTAAGAGTATATACTGATAATAGTGATGATAATAGATTACACTACATATTATTATTATGTTCATAATGATGACTATGAACCCTGTTGTTGTTGTTGTTGTTGTTGCTACTTCCTATCACTGGTGCTACACTAGCTACTGATTCATCAATAGGGGAATGTAGGTCATTAGAAGAAGAAGAAGGAGAAGGTGGTGGTGGTGTCGATTGTATACTATCCTGGCTCGATACAATACCACCACCACTAGCACCAGCTCTACCCATAACCTAACATATGAGTATCAACATTGTGTAATGTGTCTAGCAACAACAACAACAGTAGTAGTCACTACCTGTGCAGTAGTCGTTATGGTACCCTTTTGTTGTTGTTGGTACTTATGTTTCAATTGATGTTTCTGTAGTTTACTATCACCTCTAGTTAGAGCAGCATTCGATTGTTTCTTTCTCGCAGTAGCTATAACATCATCAACTCTAATATACGACATCCTCTTGTTGTTATTATTACCAACACTAGGAGCTAGTCCAGAATTAACAACAGCCATTTCACATTCTTGACATAACCTTAACGAAGCCTCATGTATCTCAGTACCAGTTACTTTACCACCATCTTCGATCACAGCTTGATAACTAAAAATGATACTCAATAACACTATTAAATGATGGAGGACTTATCACAGCCAATGCAACTTCAATGCAAATCCCATCCTTTGGGCAGCTTTGTCTAGCAGAAAGGTGTGTAATGACGACTAATTATATAAAGTGTGATGGTATGAAGATAACAATATCATTATTACTGTATTAATCCTCTTTAATGATGAATACACTAGTTGAGGTAAATAGAAGTCGATATACTTATCATTAACTTTATAACTGATCATAGTAATGTATCATAGTTCCTAATAATAATAACAACAACCTACAGTTCATTGACAAGATAATCATTGACTCCTTGTGAAGTCATAGTATGCAAATAATGCATATGGTAGTAGGCATCAAATACCTAATAATAATATGATCCTTATAATATAACAATACTACTATTACTACCTCTGATTTAAACAACCTTAATAAGGATCCTAAAGATGCATCCTTAGTACTATCATGAGTACCAGCCTCCCCAGATGATACATCCCCCCGAGTAGTGATAGTAGATGATGATGAAGATGACATTATTACTACAATGATAGATACATGAATTAGCAATTCATTTTAGGGCGAGCGCTAAAGCGTCGACATCATGGCAGATTCGAAGCTTCATCATAATTACTCATTGGAACATCATCATCGTCATGGTTGATGATAAAAATCCATTTTCTATAAGACGACCACCGTCGGATGCTGCATTAAATATCGTATCATTGGAGTTCCCTTATGAAGTGCTGTATAATGCTACAGAGGGGTTCTCTATTAATAATAGGATTGGTTACGGTAGTTATGGTACGGTATATAAAGGGACTCTACCTGATGGTACTATAGTTGCTATTAAGCTACTACACAACCCTAAATGTGATGGTTTCATGGAGGAAGTTAAGATATTATCAAAATATAGGCATCCTAATCTGGTTATCTTAATGGGTTTTGCTAGACATCAACATCAACGATTATTGATATATGAGTATCTACCATATGGTACCTTATATGATAAATTACATCATATAACATCTCAAAAGGACCCCTCTTCCTTATTCCTTTATCATAGTCGTATTAAAGTTCTACGATCAGTAGCTCGAGGATTATGTTATCTCCATACTCGTAATAGACCTGTTTATCATCGTGATATCAAGAGTCAGAATATACTACTATTAAATGGTCCTAATAATGATGATGCAAAGATAGCTGATTTTGGTCTTTCTGTATTAGCTAATCCTTTTCTACCAGATAATAGTGCAACTGTTGAGGGAGTAGCAGGTACACCTGGTTATATATGCCCTTATTATGTTGGGCAACGACGACCTAAGGTTATTGATCATAATACTGATGTCTATGCTTTTGGTATGCTTATATTAGAGACTTTAACTGCACTATCCCCAGCTTATTATGATACTAACTTCATTATACAATATAACTTTACAATGGAGGATACTACTTCTGCTGATGTATGGTCAAGGATTGATAATACTGCTGAATGGCCACACTTTATTATAGGGGAATTGATTAATCTAGCATTAAATTGTATTAATGTTGATCTTAATAAGAGGCCACCCTTCTCACAAATAACTCAAGTATTAGATAAGATATTGGAAATAGAGGATTGGACTAATGCTGAGACTACACGTCTTATTATCAATCAACCTAATACCATCAACAACATCAAGAATGACCTTGATCATCTTTCTCCATCAACTATAGGATCGGATAATGTTGTTGTTGCTGCTCACTTTGGACCTAATTGGGATACTCTGGTACTAGAGGATCGTCATCATCAGGAGTCCGCACTACAGGGACATTATCATGATGGAGAACATAACGATCAGGATGATGATGAAGAAGAAGACAGTGATGATGACGATGTAGGGTCAGATGGTGTATCCTCATCGGGACCTTTACGGTTATCAAATACTATTCATCAGAGGAGGGGCAAGAAAAAATGTTGTGGATGTAGTATTATGTGATATATTACTCACATACCTATTTTGTATATTGCATCCTTATTCAACCTTAGATGCCATGAAAAGTTGTTATTATTATTGTTATTATCGATAGTTTTGTCACCATTTATAAGCATAAGTGTTGTTGCGTCTTGGAAGATGGAAGTTGAGTATGCTGCTCCTCAGAAGTTCTTATACCTTTTATCGATTCAGAGCCCTCTCCTTCTTATTGCCGCTGAATCGGTAGTATCATCATCATTGTCAACAGTTGCGTCCTTGTCATCATTATCAAACCTCGATAATAACGAGGTGGTCGTTCAAGAAGAAGAAGAAGAGGAATATATCATCATCATATTCTCACCTACCCAAACACCAACAACATTGGATACTACCATTCCTTATGATAAGATACTACACCATACTCAACAACATAAGGAGAATGGTACAGGGCATGATACTAGGTATTACAGCCATATATTATTATTATTATTATGGTCATGCTTATTATTATTAGGTCATTGAGTGTATTAAGGATACGAATGCTCATGGACTGTGTATTAATAACTTTGCTTACTGTTATTGGGGGATTAGTATCCTTAAGTAGGTCGAAAGTTAATCCGATTAACCATGCTACTAGTTTTAACTATTATCAGGTCTATTGAATATACTCAAACTGAACGTAATCTTACATAGTGATGATGATGTTTGGTATGATCATATTGTAGTAGAAGTACTCCGAATCTCTGTAGCGGATAGTATAGGGTAAGTTTTGATCTGTTATTATTATTACGTCTTCTAAGGTATACTATAAGGTACTATCTCTGGGGTTTGCTTATAATAATAGTAATAGTTCATCCGATAAAGAAGATCTTGGACTCTCTACTATCTAAGGATAGCAGTACTCAACTACTGCTCAACATTCGTTATAACTTCATTATGCGCACAAGGAGGATAGTAAAAGTATCTGCAATTATGATATTAGTGATAGTACTTGTATACAACTACTATCACATATCATCAGCTCCTCCTGGGATGATGATCTCTATGGGATGTATCATATCAGGGGTAATGTGATTATCATCATCATAATCAGCAATAGATCCCTTGAAATAATCTTATTAGGTATGGATGATAGCAACATTCCTTATTGTAGTAGCTGGACAATGGAAGGGTTTACTCACAGTCCTCTCCATCACAATACCACTCTTTGTCTCTATCATGCTCATATTCACTCAATATGTTATACCTCAAATCATTCATGGAAACATTACGATTGGGTATGTTCTATTACTGAGGATTGGTACACCATTGCTGGTATTAATCGATTGGTCCCTGGTTCAATTCCTGCATCTGACATATTAGATACAGTCTCTTGTAATACATATTATTTATGAAACATGCAAGATCGTATCACTACATCCTCTCATCACTCGTAATCTAATAGTTATAATAATGGTAATAATGGTCTTTCTACCTTATGATGTATTCCTACTATCATCATCATTATCATTTCAGTATTCTACTACACTACCAACTTGTATAATAAGTATTGGTAGATTAGACTACACTATCATAGCAACCACTGAGATAGCGATACAGATATTACTCCTACGTGACCTCTTCTATCTAGCTTCCTTTACTACTGGCTTTAAAGGTAATAATAATAATACTAGTAGTAGTAGTAGTAGTGGTAGTAGTAGTAGTAGTAGTAGTAGTAGTAGTAGTAGTAGTAGTAGTAGTAGTAGTAGTAGTAGTAGTAGTAGTAGTAGGAGTAGTAGTAGTAGTAGTAGTAGTAGTAGTAGTAGTAGTAGTAGTAGTAGTAGTAGTAGTAGTAGTAGTAGTAGTAGTAGTAGTGGTAGTAGTAGTAGTAGTAGTAGTAATCTTAATATTATTATTATTACCCCCTTTAAGTAGGTACCTTCCTAGCCATTGTGGGTATTATTGATAGACTTGGTGATCCTGTATTAAATGAATTAGAGCAATCAGAGAGTGATGATGATAATGACGATGATGATGAGGTAGTAAATCATTGAGTGGTAATCGTCCTACCTTATTACAATAGACCATCGAAATACCAAGATCAGCATTACAAATGCTACTGCTGGATTATATCGTAATACACGGAGTTTCATCATCGATGGCGGGTAATAATAGCATCTGTTCCAGGAATCGAACCTGGGTAGTCGTTACTTGTTGGGTATTGTTATATAATGATAGGTATTTGTCTGTTGATACCGAGGATATCATCATTATCAATAGGAGTGACCACCACAACTGATATAATAATGAATACTATCCTATCAGTGTTCATCTCCATCATTGGAAGTGTTGTTAACCTCTTTATTGTAGGATTAGCATCTGCTGCTGCTGCTGCTGTCGTTCCTTCCAGCTGTTTAGTTATAGCAGTAATACTCTTTTGTTATCTATCAGATAAGTGAGTGTAGATCGGCCTCATTATGGCGTATGGCAAGGTTATTCAGTGAACATTGGTCTAGTATGAGGATGACACTTGCCCTTCATGTCACAGCTGCTACGGCTATTGGGTGCTGCTCTGATCATCTATTGGCTGCTGCTCGGCTGCATAATGGCGGCTACTCTTTTTAGATACCACTTGGTACAGTCTACCATATTATGTAGTAAAGATGGAGGATAGTTAGGGAAGCTGTTTTATGAAGCATCAATCGATTATGGTTTATCATAATCATCATGACAATATATCATGGGCAACGACGATGTATATTTGGATACCATGAATAATAATAATATTGTCCTCAATGCCTTACTGGATTTGTGTTGCTCAGTTTGGTTCCTAACCACTCGAGTTCGATCCCTGGTAACAGCAGATTTCTCATTATGCTTTTTCGAAGTATTATCGCCTGGTGTTTAATAACTACTTCCTTTGGTATTGATATTATTGGAGTCCTTCAAGTCCCCAGTAAGTCCCTTATAGTTATCATCAGCAAATGTTATTCAGCAGATAATAAACTGGAGAGTATCATTGGTCATCCTGATGGATTGGAATATATCTTTAGTAGTTCAAGAGTTATATTAGAGGATGGTAGAGAATATGCTGCTAATGTCGATCAGAAAGGGATCTTCCGAATGTAATACACATAAAGAATAGTCCATATTCATCTCATCCTTATTATCAGTCCTGATGTTGAGCTAGGGACTTATGTTTTACAAGTGGTTAACCAAGACATTTATTTTGAGATGGTAATAGAAAGGTTCCCGCGGGTTCGAGATGGTATTATCATTCGTTAGTTCACCATCGATGTCTTACCCGACAATAAAGTAACTGCTTATCATTTTGATCCTTTACTCCACTCACATAACAAGATAGCATCAGGAGGAGGCGGAGGCGGCGGCCTACCTTTGGTCATTTCGGCTACAGGCCCGATTGAATACTTTACTCACAGAGAGGTGGTATTCACAACAACAACAACAATAAAAAGAAGAAGAACATTGTACTTATTGTTATTATTATCAGTCCTTCAATCTACTACATGTATTGAAGTCCCCTATGGCTATTATGGCATTGGTTATGGCGGGTATCATGTTATTCTTACCAAAACTTCAACAGAATATGATGGATGAGGAGACAATGAAGGAGATGAAGGAAGGTAGTAGTACTACCAGTAGCAGTAGTAGTATAATCATCCTCATCATTATTATTACCACCCTACTACTAGTACTATTAAATATATATCTATTCATCAGTTGCCGCCAAAGATGATGGTATCACAGGAGGCTTGATGAGAGCGATGACTGGTGGTGGACCTACCACAGAGACCTCAGTTAAGAATACTAAAAAGGTGATGGTCATGACAAGGGATGGGTAGGGAGTAGTAGCAGATGTTACAGTTTGTCTATTTTTAGGAAGGTGGTAATAGTAGTGGGAATTCCCGTCGTAAGGGGGGTCAGCATAAAGGATAGACGACGACTAACACTATATATTTACTTCTGCTAGTCTCCAGTGGTGGTGTTGTTGTTAATTAAATGGTAAATATGATATAATATTAGAGAGTTTCAACTTATTTATATATTCAACAAAATCATAACATTATCATAATGCGAAAGGACTACTATGATATATTAGGAGTCAAAAAAGAAGCCGATGAGATTAAGAAAGCGTGAGAAGAGCAGGCAGAGGTCCAAGGTTCGAATCCATGTTACAACACCACCATCATGATTATAGATATCGCCGTATGGCTCCATTGAAGTGGCAGTCTGACAAGAACCTTGCTAATAAAGAAGCCGTTGCAGAGGAGTTCAAAGAGGTATTAACGATAATCCTACAATACTAACAACAACAACAGCAACAACAACAACAACAACTACACGTCATGGTTCCATACACGATAGGATCATAGTCCTCCCATGATGACCAATCCTATAATATAATACATTAGGTTGCCGAAGCATATGATGTTTTAAGTGATGTATAGAAAAAGGCAGTGTATGATGCATGCGGAGAGGAAGGCTTTAAGGTTGGTCCGGCTGGTTCACCGGGTGGCCCGACTGGCCCCTCACAATCTCATCATCATCATCATCATCATCATCACTCTTGTTGATGTTGTTCCTTATTATCAGCTTCCAGGATGCTCCTCATGGTTTCCATTATACCTTCTCACATGGTCCCAATGATATGTTTGCCCAGTTTTTTAAGGATAGTGTATAACGAACTAATAGCTTTGGGGAAACACCATTTGGTACCGATACCTTTGCTGAGCTACTCTCCGGTAATAACAATAGTAGTACTAGTCTGCTTTTGTTCCTGCCCCTGCTGCCCCTGCTGCTGCTGCTCAATGATGCTCAGGTCTTGGTGGTGGCAAGAGGACCAAGAGGTGCTGGCAGGGGGCGGGATGATGATGATGATGATGACAAGCCTAGACTACTACTATTATTACCACTACTAGGAGAACATTAAGACTCGTCAAAAGGCTCTGTCGAGTTCGATCTAAACTGCTCATTGGAGGACTTATTCTATGGCACAGTGAAGAAAGTGAAGGTAGTCGTCATGGAGGGTACTGTAGGTACTCGTATTGCCTTTGCTGGAGTTCGTATAATTGAAGTGGTGATACCAGGATTCACTCGTGTTATCAGAGGTAGTGTTATGCCTATATCTGAGCATCCAGGCCAGCATGGTGATCTAGTTGTTACTTTCGATATTATATTCCCTAACACGAGGAACCTGTAGATCCATTGTGGAAGTGTTCATGTTGAGTACTACCTTCCTGCTCTATTGTTCATCACGATTTATGCTAGACTAGTAGTAGTATATTAGGGAATGCTATTCACACCCTGTATGGTGACCCTCATCTCTAGTAGGATGATAATGATCATCATAGCGTGACCTCTTATGATGGGAGAAGGCTTCTAGTGAGATGATTGATTCATAATGCGATGATAATCTATACCGTGCTTTACAACCTCTACAACAAGATAATGTCTACTTCACATGATGATTGACTCCTCTTCCAGTGATCATCATTCTTTGGGGGTGTATCGCAATAAATAATACACATCCCTTAGTTAAAGGGAATAGACTATTGTGGCAATACATAGTTCCTCTATTTTAAGTCATGAATTACTCATAAATACTAGAGTCAACTAGTATAAGTAGTTTCGTATTGCGTATTGGGAATACCCCACTCGTCACCCTCCAGGCAGTAGGCTGTACTCCGAGTAAACTCGACCACCCATTGAAGACACTAAATGGGATAAAGTTGTTGTAAGACTTCACTCGCGGGTGATCCCGTAAAACTATAAGTAGCTCTGTCGCTGAGAGGAGTTCTCTGTAAATTAACTTCAATGACCTGGGAATCAACAACAAGCGTGATGATTATTATGAACATCGAATAGTGTAATAAACTAATACTCTTACTGGAATATTCCTCTTCAATGCAGTGTCAGCAAACCCAGCAGCTGGATAGACAACACTAGATGTTCCAAGGACAAGTAAGAGATCACAAGAACTCCTAAAAGAAGAATGATAAATGCTAGAGTCGTATGTAATAGTACATAGCTTTGTTAGCCGAAGCGAGTGTATCCTTATCAAGTGCCTCACCAAACCAAACTACACCTGGTCGTAGTAATCTATCATCAAAGTTGATAATAATGATCCCAAAGTAGATATGCATCCGACTACCTGCCATCTCTATGTGGTAACTCTCCAATAGGAACTGTAATATGATGATGATGATCGGGGGGGCGCTGGTCTATATTAGCAAAGGCAGGAGTGATAGGCACGTTACGATCCTCCCATACCTGATAATAACCCTTTAAGCAGATATATCAAATACTTACATTGACACCATCCTCTATAAAAGTATGAGTGTGGGCATCATCATTGCTCTTCTTTACTAGCCAAAGTGAACCATGAAGCTCGATAATGTTATGACTACCGGCAGCTTGGTGTAGTCTATCAACGTTTTGCTGATGGATATCATTGTATAACAAGCAACAGCAGCAGCATGAATGAGATGATGTCCCTTCTCACAGTCATTAGGGTGAAGTCCTTCCCATCATTCTCTTTAATCTTCTGTAGTTCAGCACACCACATATGGCATGTATTTGGTGAGGCAGCAGCTACCACCTTACGGCGATATTCATAGAATTCCCACACTAGTGACGGGTTCGCTGCAAATGCCTCTGGAGTTGCTAACCCTGAAGGATTAGCACCTTCTGGGCTTCACTCGACATTACTG